ATGAAAGCTAGATGTAATGATTCTTTTTGCGATCTTTTTCAAAATCGCTTATCGGAGAAAGGTATAGCATGTAAATATTTTTCGGTGATCCAGTCGGATCACCGATGTTTTATTTTTCATGATCCGGTGTTGATCCGAAGCTGAAAAAGCCGTCGGATCACCGGATCGGCGAGTTATTTTCAACCCTGCGTTATTACTACAGCGTTACTACTCCAGCGTAAGGGGCGGGTCATCACCATGGCGATAAATAACAAGACGTTTTTGTGGAGTAATGGCTGCGTCCATGACTGGAAATGCGAGAAAAGATAGTAGAATGAAAATAAATTTTATTGTCAATGAATGACGGAAACACGCGAGGTTTCCCGAAGCTATCGCCAGAACGAGAGACAGTCACAGCCACTATGTATCTCGAGTCGGTTTTTGGTGAAAATACCAGATTTTCACCGTTTATTATCTCAGCGTGGGGTGATCGTAGGGACAAACAGTTTGTTTTATATTAGCAAGGTAGGACAGCTGATCAATAATACCGCAAAGAATCGTCAAAATAAAATGGGCAAAGTTGATTAATTCGACTAATACTGCAGCATGGTTTTAGCATTTGACCGTTGTACGCTCTCCTTCTTAATACGCTCTTGATAATATAGATCTCTATATTATACACTCCTGGTAATATGATATTCACAGAACCAAAAGAGGACCTTAACGGCTCATAGATTTCAAGTAAATTTTGTACAGATCTGAAAATAATTAAGCGTCAAGGCCTGTGTTAATTCAGTTGGCAGATAGATTAAATTTTTAACCACATTACTTTGCCTTAGCATTGTACTTGCAGAACTTGGCAGAGACTGAGCAATTCAACCCTCAGCAATTTGAAGTTTAGGTTTCTTTTTTTTAAGTAAATATTTTAGCCTTTGGTGTCCCCAAAGATTAAAATACTCAACTTAAAAGTGATATATTTGTGATGAAGATTGTTTAATAATGCTGCCTCAGAGTGCAGGAAATTGCATCTAAGAGGTGTAATTTTCAACAAAAAAACCGCCTAATCAGGGACCCCTTCCCGAACCCACCCCCATAGTCTATTTTGTCACTATTGTTTGACAAGCATTTTTGTTTTAAAATTTGGGCGAGTACAGATTCCATTTGGGCGAGTTAAAGGGATAGTTTACTCTAGGTTCTAGGGTTATTTTCAGTTAATTTAGGTTAAAATTACGCTACATAAAAAGTTTCATGATTCAATCACCATTAGAAATATTATTAAAAAATGTTAGCATGTATATAAGCACGTGCATGTGCATGTATTATTGCATGTGTGTAAGCACGTGTGCCGTGAACAGAATGAAATGCGCGCGTAAAAACCTCCAAATGCGCGCGTAAATGACTGCACTGCACTCAATACAACAATGGAGGAAGAAGTGTACGTTGCTATTGCTCGACATTTCTTTGCTGATTAGAAGAAGTAAAAGAGATAAGAGAAGGAGTGGACGGAAACGGAGTGTGCGGGAGCGGAAGTGGATAAGCCGTAAAGCAATTTACGGCCATTTCACTCGGCTAGTTCCAGAATTTACCATTGAGGATTCGTTCGATCTGTTAGAAAAAATTTTACGGGTAACCATGCAAACCCCAGTTTGCAAATATTTTACGTCGGATCAGAACCGTATATATTGCAAAAAAGATACACGCCTACGACTGGCCATCCAAGTAGCCGAGCGAATTGAGGTAACACTACGATTCTTAGCAACAGGTAAATGTTTCATTATCTCTTGAAAGAATGAAAGATTCTGCACAAGTAACATAAAAAAAAACAAAGTATTGCATAATGAAACCGAAAATGTCATTTTGTTGTTAAATGCTGTCTCGATATAAGTCAGGCTATCTTTCCGATTACACACTATCATCGATCATTTCCAATAGAATCATTTCCATTGGCTTCTCAGGTAAGACACGCCATGCAGTCTCTGCAGTATGGGTTCAGAATACCCAAATGCACCCTGAGCGGGATCATTCCAGAGGTTTGCGGAGGTACGGAGTTTACGGAGTAGGGCCATTACTCGATCGCTCTAATTTAAAGGAAGATCGACTATTTAATAGTAAATTGTGAATATGCATGAGAAAAATACAACTACGAAACACAAATATGAAACTACTAATATGAGTAGGTATATATATTTACAATACATATATATGGAGAAAATTATAATATTATAATGTAGAAAAATAGATTAATAGAATAGGGTGTCACTACCTACACAGTCTACACAGTCCACTATCTACCACAGTCTACATCTACCACAGTCTACAGTCTACCACACACTACCACAGTCACTATCTACACAGTCACTTCTGTAACTTTTCAACATCAACCGGAAGATGGCGCTGTATGTGACACTGTTTCCATCTCTTGTGCAAGTGTGTTTTTACACCGGGTAGTCTCACTTTTTTGTCAGTTTTCTAGCTTTTATCGCCAATTACAACTGTATTCTCCACACAAGTTGCTCTGCTTGCTTACAGTAAACTGCATTCTATATCGATATATCCAACAAGATGTTTAGAAGAAAATTAAAAGCTTTGAAATATCAGCTAGCGGATTCCTTCGAGTTCGACGGTAAGCAAATATTTCTTACTCATTCTAATTCTTGTCTTCAAACTTCACGTTACGGAGTAGCTCAAACGGGCATACATCGAAAAACCGTGTGCATTGGCGTTAGTCACAGTGTCTGGTAATTCGCCTTCACTGAACTACTAGCTAGCAGTAACAGTCACATATAATATAGCATGTCATGAATTCATATGATTATGAAGCCAAGTTCAAGTTCAAGTTGGCATTGATAAGATCATGAGTGTCTAGTATTAGTACTATTACTATAGTATATAATATATTACTATTAGTATAAATAGTATTATTATCATTAATATTATCTCATCGATTTAAGACTTGCACCTACCAGAAGAAGGTAACACGTATGCAATGCATGTCAAAAGTTGTTGTTTTTTCAGTCGAATCAAATTTCAAGAACGTTGTCGTCTGGTTAGAAGACCACAAAATTAGACACTATAAAATAGAGGATCGGGATGCGCTGCGAAAATTACAGAATCCTGACTGGCAAGAAGTCTTCACACAGGTACACAGATACACCACGACTAGTCACAAGTTACCTTCTCGCTTCTCACTACGTGGCCGCGACGTGAAACAATCATAGAGCGTGGTCAGGCGACAACATTAAAACATTACATATAATCTAAATGATGTGGTGCATTGGTAGGACATGTTATACTATGTCAGTATACGCAGCGAACGAGCTTGGCACTCGCCCGCTCGCCAATGTCGAGTGAAAATAATATCGGGTGAGTAAAAGCTAAAGCTGACTTGCCCATGTTGGCGAGTAAAAATAATTATCTAAAACTTTAATCAATTGTTGGTTCCTTATATATGCAAACATTGATGAAAAACAGTTCTAGCGATTGTGAAGGGTGGCTATCGCACGGCATCCTCACTTTATATTATCAAAGGTCGCCGACAGGTGCCTGGGGCGG